TTTTTGACATTCATCATGAGTCCCATTGGTATCATATATTAATGGTTGGGAGTTATAATAAGCAAATATGTCAAAACTCTCTAAAGAAGTTTAGATTGATTTCAGACACAAGCCGAGAATCCTTTGGATTTTCTCATCCTTATACATTCATTTATAGAAATTAATTCAAAATGGGAAATATTCATTTTCCTGAGACCTTTAGCATTCTCATACAATTACAAGACTTGAAGTAGCCTGCTCAAGGTATCATATATTAATGGTTTGTTCTCTCTGGAATTAATCAGTATTATTGCTCATGCGGTTGCATTGTAAGGTGAGGAGGAGGAGAAGCTAGATTTTGAAATAACTAATCAGAAAATGTTAGAAAAGTACTTCATTTCTATATTGATAAATGGGTAGGGGACAAAAACCAATATCCCTCCCCTCCCCCCAACCCAACTACATTATTGGTAGGAGCTGAAAAACTCCTATCCCAGAGGAAGTTTACCCCTTTTTTCCCTTAAAAGAGTTTATTTTGCAATCAGCTAACCTAATATGGAAGATCCACTTCATTACATGTAGTGTGCTCCTATTATATTAGCCTTTTTAGGCTGGGAGCATTTGTGGCTACAGGCAACTCAATGCTCAAACAAATGCAATAATACGAGATCATGCAGCAGGCAAATCGCTTTCCTATTTTGGGGTGGTGTTGGGGGTTTTGATTATCAGTTCATTAAATGTAGCCCTTTCATTTTTTCTTAATCTCTGTGTTTCTGCATTATGAGTGGGAACAGAATCTCATCATTTTTATATTAATGAGGATTGGTATAATTATTATTGTTTTTTTCTCGTTGAATAATATTGTGAATTATCTCTGATTTAATGGTTTCTCATCACTCACGCTTTGTGTTACTTCATATTTGCTGCATTCTGGACTGCTGGAAACTATTTATTTATTATAGTTATATATGCATATAGATACTGTTCACTTTGTAGTTCACTCTTTTGTTGGATCAAATATATGTTAATTATATATTTGCTTAAATTTCATCTATCAAGTCATTTATATGCTTAGTAGTATTCTCTCAGCTATGTACTGTTTTATCTTTTTTGTAGCTCTTCCTTGTCCTTGTATTGTTTACTCTAGAGGTTAGCCATGTCTGTCACACGCCATCATTTTAATCATTACTTATCTAACAATTCATTCTGCTCTGGTTCAGCAAAAGAGATGCAACGGGTTCGCTTGTTTGATGTGTTGGGGAAACAAACAAAGAACTTGAGAGCATCCTCAGTTGAGTAAGATCGGTTACAGCAGGCAAGGAAGCAATGGACAACCTAGGCTCGTCTACTAGATCATATATGTGTACTTATTCAAGCCTTGTATACAGTACATAACATATTTGTGTTTTTGGATTAGACTCTTATCAATCCCTATTAAGTCATTTTAGATGTAGAAAATTCTTAATTGTATTAACTGCGACGTTGTATGGATCACAAAAGAATTATCTGCTTTTATAGCAATTTTTTGGTATTTCTCCTTGCTGTCCATATGTTTCTCAATTTATTTGGATTGAGATACCTAGACTTTGGATGAAGAGAAAATGTCTTGGTTTGGCCATCTGTAGCTACAAGTGCATTAGTTTATTTGATTTTACACACATCCCACATCACTTACTATATAAATTCATTAATAATTTTATTACAAGCTTTGTAGACTAACTCTTCGCGTGTGCATTTATTTATTATATCTGTGTATTTTTATATTTGTTTTAGTGGTATCCATTTGTCAAGGAATCTGGATTGTATATGCCACTCTGATAATGCAAATATCAAATGGATGCGTTGGGGGATCTTGGCTCGTGGGGTCCATGGCCCATTAGTTTATTATACCCTATCTAAATAATTGAGCTCTGACTTTGTTAATTGGGCAGTCATAATTCATACCTAATTTTAAGATATTTTTTGGGAAAAATTCATATATCAGTTAAGTTTATTAGGCTAATTTAATTTAAAGAGAACAACTTTACATTTTCAAAACTCAAGTAGTAATTAAATTCTATTAATTAAATAAAAAAATATATAAAAAATAAAATTTCAATCTTTCTAGTTCGAGTCACCGCCATCCGACGGTCGTTATCCTCACCTATGACATGTAACTGTTACATGTGATATTGATCCAATGGCCTACCAATTTTCTTGGATTTGTGACATGTGGATATTGATCTTATAAATGCAATACGTATTGTAACCTGTGACGTATTACGTGTGATCTGTAAAATATAAACTGTGATTCGTGAACTTGAATTTGTGACCTATTATCAATGCACAAAAATATGTGACATATAGTCTGTGACTAGTTCTGTTTGATCTGTGACGTATGGACATTTTTTGTAACATGTGCACAATAACTTATGACATGGTACATATGATATATGACCTATCACCACCACTTGTGGATTGTGGCATGTAACTTGCAAACATGATCTGTGATCAGTTTTGTTTGATACATGATCAGTTTTGTTTAACATGTAACCTATCACCACCATCGTCACCAATGACCTAAATAAATCATCACAAACCCTATTTATACAACCACAATCTAATCCAATCCAACCCTCTTTGATCCGCGACATGGACATTTATTTGTGACTTACGCACAATGAACATTTGACCTTGATCACAAACCCTCTTTATACAACCCCAATTCAACTCAAATCTAGCACCATCACCACCACCTGCACCACCACCATCGCTACCGTCAACACTATCGTATTGTATCAAATCAGAAAACCACCAACAACCACCTCCACCACCAAAACTCCACCACAACCACCACTTTCGCATCACCACAACCACCATTGGCAAACTGCAAACAAACCACAAATGACCAAAGTAAATCACCAACTACCAAAACAACCAAGCAAACCACCAAAGCAACAATTGATCTAAACTGCAAGAGATTCCGGCCAAAATCAGCTACCAAGAACTGAACGGAATTTGTGCAAAATTTGGCCTCCATGGTGATGCCCATGATCTAACACCACTACAGGTGGTTAATTCACACCTAGACGACCTCAAGCACGGACAAACATCAACCAAAATAGCATTCCAACCAAAATAAACCACTAAGAATCGAACAAATTTATGCAAATTTCTGCCTCCGCAGTGATGCCTATATTGCGCACCACTATAAGTGGTTAATCCACACACATGCAACCTCAACCGTGGACAAACATCAACCAAAACAGCCCTCCCATTTTTTCCGTTGCCAATTCTAGTAAAAGTAAGGGCAAGTGGCAACGGTACATGCCACTTTACGCGGCGACAGTACGGAAAGAGAAGAGAAAAAAAAGATAGATAAGAGAGAAGACGGAAAGAGAGGAGAGAGAATGTTGTGTTTTAATTTTGATTGATTTTTAATAAAATATTTATTTAATAAATATTAATAATTAATTATCACCTGAAATTTGAAAAATGAAACTTAAAATCATATTTATGAAGTTGGATCTTAAAAAGTATGTCTCCATGTAGTTTCCACCTTTTTATAATTGTGTTTGTTTAAGTCATGATCTTCTTTGGAGATGACAATGACTTGAGCTTTTGGGAGGCGGGTTAGGGCTATAATGGGGTGATGCAACATTAAGTAAAGACGAGGTATTTTGTCATCCCAATTAATATTTAAGGTACTCATAATGTCTCTATATGACATAGAAATCGTTTAGAAGTGATCAACTTTAAGGCGCCCCGGTGAGATTTGGTTTAATTGTATTAACGCGTCTCTTTGAGAGAGTAGGCAGCTTTCTTGTACGTTTGAGGTTAAAAAGTGTGTGGATCAAAATGTGTGCAGATGTGAATCACACGACTTATAAGCTAAATAAGTTGAGAATTCAAACCTCCAGCACCATTAAAAAAGATGACGTTTGATATCAGGAGTACAGAGGTTGGAGATAAATTATGTAATAAAATAATTAGGTTGGACATTTGTGGAATCCGACGAGATACTGATGTGGAAGTAGATGCCATTGGCTGAGAGACAAGTCGACCATTCAGCCTAACACTAAACAAATGAATAAAATATTAAATTTAATTAATTAGGGTTTCCCCATCCCTTAAGCTTTTGTGTGGAATGCACGTAACATAATGCAAATCGATATTTTATACACAAAATGCAGTCAGCTTTTGTTATTTTATTAATATTCCACTCTTTAAACAGCATTAGTCTGACATAAGCCCGTGAAAAAAAAGGGACAGACAAAATATATTATTTGTTAATTTCATAAATTGTCAATAAAGTTTGAGTGAAATTTTAAATTGGTCACTCTATTAGTTGTATCCACTCCAGATTTAACATCAGCCCGTTAAACGATTATTGTGTTCATACATATCTTCAAAATGAAATGCATTTCTAATGTTTATAATTAGAAATAGTTGAGCTAAAATAGTGGACTTCTTGGAAGGTATTATTCGCTTTATGATTGATTGTTAGTCGATGTGAGGGTTTTAACGTTAGATACATCTTTAATAAGGGTAAAAAGTCATCAATTATGTAATATATTTTTAATTTTAGTTTGAATACTTGCTTGGATTTCTGCTATCATTAACTAAATATATTAAACACAATTTGAACTTTCATAAGTTTGGCAATTCTTTAGCATACATTTCACTCATTCCTTCCATCACCATTACACACATACTATAAAATTAATAAATTATTTCTTTAAATTTAGTTAGGTTTGAAGCTAAATGCGACATTGATCACTTTATAGGGTGTTTGACACCCATTTTTTGGATAATAGAATTTTTGGAATAGTGATCGATGGGAGAATGTGTGGTGGAAAAATTATGAAAAGTTTTAGATTTGTGTGTAATACTATTTTATTGGGAGAATGTGTGGTTGAAATGAAGAAAGAGAAAAAAATGAGAATGAGAATAGAATGGGTGCCAAACAGGGGCTAAATATCACTTCAAAATCAGGAATGATGATCAGAATGCTTTCTAAAAGTA